CTGGGACTTTCATCTATTCTTCCAGTAATTGGTGGGCAGATATGAATAAATGTTTTACAGCCTTCTGAAGGGTAGTGAAATAAAGCTATCCAAATCCTTTGGCCTAACTTACAATGTGCTTAATGAAAATGGTACAATGTATGTATTCTTTTTATATGTAGGATCTGACTTCTGCCATCTTTCCTGATAATCATAGCTCAAAATAAGATGAAAAACCCATAAAAGGTTTTAGGGCTAAAATACACAATTTTGTTCATAATGCTGATGAAGGGGCCTTTCCAATCTGTGCTGTGCTGTAAGGCATCTAAGCAAGGACCCAAGGTGTTTAAGCTTCGATGTAGCAAAACAGTAATTCTTATTCATCATAAAGTCATTGTGGGCAGTCGTGGTAAGTCACACTCTAATACACATAGAAATTGACACTAATAGTTAGCATTCACTGAAAATAAAATTATATGTATTTCATATTGAAGAACAATAAAAAAAAACCTCTTGTGGTAAACTCTGTACCCAGCTTGTATTAGTCAAGGTCATAATTAACACAAGAATGGTATGTGTGTGCCTGCACTCAATATGTTTTTCAAAGTTATATAGTAACATCACTCATAAAAAACTATCTTTCATATGCAAATAGTTGTCTTTAGTTTCCTCCCAGGTAATGATACTCCTGCTAGTTATACTAATTCAGAAAAAAAAAAAGTCAGAAGACATCAGAATGGGTTTAATAATAATGCAAAGATGTATGGCTATGGAAACAGCTTATTCTGACAAAGCATTATAGATATATCAACATGCTAGAGGAGGATAAGGCTTAAGAATTGGGGGGTTAGATAAGAACTCTTATTTGCTACCTTCAAAACAAGATGCAGTGTGTTGTACCTTATTTATTGTGTGCACTGTAATGATGATCAGTAATCCTATATTTTTCAGACAAGAAATTCACTTTAAGTCTCCTTAGATTCACTCTTAATTATTTACTTAATGTATGTACATTTTCTTTCCAATATTTCTTCTGCAATGAACAGACACTGTTGGAACTCATGTACTTTCAGTCATGGCAAAAGAGGGGGATTTGGTATGCTCAACTTGTGATAAAAGGGAAAGAAAACATCAGATATTACATTCCGTTTTCTATGCAATTATTAGCGACAAAATGCTGGTACCATTCATCTTAGATTGGTGTCCAGTTCTGAATCTGAACCTCTTAATTATCTGAGTGACAGAGGATACTCAGTATTCACTTTGAATTACGTTGCCTTACTATAAGGTTCAGAAATTATGACATAGTATCCCATAATTTGAAGTTAATTTTATGAACATGAACTTTCAGACTTATACAGAATTAAAGGAGCCTGACAGATGCTTTAGAAGTCTTTATTGCTATTACAAAAGGAACATTCATTTGCTGTATTTTATTGTACTAGTCTATTGCAGGGACACAACAGTGAACACTTTTAGGATTACTACTAATAAAAAAGGTAAAATAAGTAAACTTCAATCAATCTAAAAGGCAGATAGATGTTAACAGTAATTCTATGCAGACTGCTATGCACAATTTGTAGAAACACACAATGAAAATTTTCTAGCTAACAAGATGTGTAAACAGCTTATGAATCCATAGTACAAATCCTAAGCAAAGGCTCCTAAAACATACAGAATAGCGTTTCCATGTTGCTCTGTGTCTACAATCTACAAAACCTCACTAGATCAAATTTGTTACAAAAATAGACAATCTTTTCTTTAAAAAATATAACCTTTTTGTCACGATATAAGAGAAGTTATAAAGCATATTATTTATTTGGCTTTCTAATTTTAGAAGGTTAGTTTAAATATATATCAGAATTCAAAATTTAAAAAAAGGAAAATGTGAAATTAAAACGCTTTCATCTGATCTTTCTTTTCCTCAGTGAGACCTGCTCCCATATCCTGATTCCAGACCAGAACTATGTTCAGACTCCAACAATAAGACAAACCCAAGTGAAACAACAGAATTCCATCCAGTCTAGCTTCAACTGTGGCTAATCAGATGCTTTAATTAAGGCAATAAGGCTGATGCTACAGTTACTATTCAACAGTACACTATAGTATTTACACTATTTCTACATCAGTTGAAATTGATAAATTTCTCTATGAACATTACCCTCATAAATCCATTTAAGCTAACTTTATATCTCATAGCAATTAATTCCATATATCAATTTATTTACACACAGAATTATTGTTCTGGCTTGCCTTAAACCTACTGCTAATCTATAACTTTGGTTGGCTCTATGTTAAACGGAAAAAATAATTTCCAACATTCCAAGTAACTGGAGAAGTAAACTTCTCAGCTTTTTCAAGAGAAGTCAGATCACTTTCTCCTCACCACACTTAATTTTTATGAAGTTCTATAACATCTCTCTTCACAAACAACGATACATACAGACTTGAGTAAACTGTGCTGAATTCATTTTGGAGTATTTCCAAAGAGGCATGCAGACGACAAGATTACAAGATAGCGTTTAATCCTCCTTCCAACTTTCTGCTTCCTAAATCTCTCTCACCACAAATATACCCAACTCCTTTCTTAGAACCAAATACTCCAAAACCCTGAACAAATTACAGCCTAACAAAATACTTTGTACATTAGCAAAAGTAGCTAAGAGGACAGTTAATTAAAATAACAAAATTGAGGGAAGAATGTATGGATGAACCAAAAGGAGAGTACAGTAACTGCAAATTGACAGACTTCACCTGATTTGGGGGAAGGTGCAAAAGATTAAGGAAGAAGACACGCAACCTTGTACACAGAAATATCTTTTAGGAGGAGCAAACTCCGTTGCTAAGAAACAGGAGGGGAGAAGTGAGGCTAGAAATTCGGGGGGCATGCAGAATCCACACCTTCCTTTTAGAAGGCACCCCAAAATGACTGTCCTCGAGTGCGCCTGAGTGGGGGGGAAGAAATGAGAGATAACAACTCTCCCAAGCTCCTTCCCTTTCCCGAGGGGACCGAAATACATCGCCTACGTACCTCCAAGGGGGGGTGGGACGAGCCCGAACACCCTTCCGGAAGCGAACCCCCCAGAAGAGAAACGCCCCGGAAGTGCATATCCCCTCTTCGTCTCCGTTGATTGACTTGATTTCCCCCCAGCTCCCCTGAAACAATCTTAGCGTCAGGTAGCCACACCCACAGGAATGAGCCCACCACGGAGAGGGTGGAACCTGCGCCTCGCGGACTGCCTGGGTACTTGTGGCGCTGAAGGGGGAGGGGGGACTACTGTGGGTAGGAGTCATTTTTTCTAGGGAGTGGTAACGAGGAGGAGGAGCTATGCAAAGAAGCGCGCCCGTCACGTGACCCCGAGATCCGCGCACTGCCTATAAAGCGGGTGGTTGTGGCCCGCGCTTTCTCTTTTGGATTCTGCTTTCGGTGGGCCTGTGTAAAGCTGTGAGTATGGTGAATATATATACATATATTCCTGTAAGTGCGGCTTTGTTACTTTCTTTAGAAGGAGTTGGGTCATTAGAATGTAGTGTTGATCGTGGAAGGGCTGGAGGAGGCATGGATGGCGCTGGATTTTCGCATGCTTTCCCTTTTTTCCCACATACATTTTTTTCTTCTGGGCGTTGAGCACAGATGGCGCTCCAATAACGGCTCAACGGAGTAGCCTTTCCAGATGGGCCTCGTGGTTGAGGAAAGCGTAAAACTGAGCCTCTAAAAAAGCTGAACCTTTGTTAAAAAAAAAAAAAAAGCATTCCGTATGGGGATAATAAAAACGTCCTTTATTAAATCGGCGTACAAGCTTTTGCGTTAACTCGAACGGCTCTGTAGGCAGAGATTAAATTCAAAAAGGGAACGAGCAGAAGCTTGATGTAGTAAAATGTCCTCTCGTTCTTGACGATCTTCAGATGAATCTGAAGTGCGTGATCAGGTTTGCCGCTGATGTTGGTAGGGATCTCTGATAGATAAATTATTTGAAGCTATTTATATATTTTAAAAAATTAAATGATTTAATTACATTGCAAAACAACTTGTACAGAAACCTTCGAGTAACATCCTGTGAAAGATGAACTTGCATTTGTACCTGCAAATGATGATAAATTGTGTTGGTAGGGACATCTGAGACACTGATGAATGCCAACATTTCTGAGCAGGACTAAGATTTTAGTTTAGGTATGTTAATGATTACCCATCTCCAACTTACCCATCTCCAACTAACTTGAAAGATTCTGTTCTGGTTCCCCAAAACTTTAAGGCTACTGGACATAATTCTAAAACAGAAATTGAATAAATGAGTCTTTCCTAGTAACAGGAAAGCATCAAAAATCCAATAATTTCTGATTTTTTTCTATAAACAAGCTTCTCCAACCTCATGTTCACTATACATTTTATGCCTAACACATCTGATTGCACCAGTTTCTAATTTTGATGGGATGTTTTGAATGTAATCTGTTCCCAATCCAAGACACTAAGTGAGGGAGTTTGAGGGAGGGGAAAGACTTTTTCCATTTTCAGATGGAATCATCACTAATGGCTATCTTCAACTAATGAGTTGTGTGACTTGGCCTTCTAGAAATGGCTAGGAAAGAGGGATGTGTGGCTGAGGTAGCCAAAAAGCATCAGAATATTGAACGATGGCAGAGGGAAAACAACATGGATAGAAAAGTAGATGAGTGAAACCTCATGTTCCAGTTATGTATTCCATAATTCATGAGAAGCCACTAAGATGTATCTGATCTTTGAGTCATCTCATGACTCACCCCAAAACTACACATAGGAGAATCTTGTTTTTTAAGACTGGCGTTATTTCATGTGAAACACTCGATAATTAGTGGTGCAACTGCAAATTTTGAATTATTTCTTTGCCTTCAGATTGGAAATGACAGTGAGATGTCTTATTTCAGCCCTGATACATAATTGCAGTGATAGTGCAAGTAAAAAATTATGCTGTGGCAAGGAACAAATGCATTAATGTCTGAGGCATCCCCCTTCTACATGCAGTCGAAGTAAAGGGGAGAGGAACTTAAATTAGCCCAGCAATTTTTACTTGAAAGTTGTAGGCTAAACTGAGAGTTTTATACAGTGGGCCTAGTTGCTGGCAATATAATCAATGTTAAAGGTGCAGGCTAAAAGTGAGACTGAGATTGCTAAAGATTCCCAATCAAAATACTGCCAACCCTTATTATATGGGTCTGTTTTGTTTTAAAAATAGTTCTTGTCTGATAAATGCCTATCTCCTTTGTAGATGCAAAATCTCAAGGCTATGCTGTCTGTAAAGGTATGTTTCTGTTCTTGTACATACAGAATGCTAAGTAGATGAATGAATAGTACCATTGGTTGTGCCTATGTGCCATAATGATGATGCTTATTTGCTACTCTTGACAAGATAATGATGAGAATGCTTAACCACCTTTGTTTCAAACTGAGGCACAATTTATGCTCTTAATCTTCATCCATTTACTAATTTTGAATGGACACTAAAACATTTGCTGTTTTCTTTACAGGGTTTCACAAGTAATTCTGTGCTCATGGAACAAGGATTGGTAAGTCCTAAAATTTAAATAGTCTGTTAGGAGTTTTTTTTGTCCAAGGAAGGATGCATGTGATGAAAACATAGTTCAGCAGATAATCTGTGATGAACTGTCTTTCGCTCCTATCTGATGCGTCCTTTTATGATTTAAGCTGGTCTGTTCCCAGATTGATATAGATAGGCCTACTTCAAGTGATTGCTCATTAAAAACCCCTTTTATCTTAACACTAACTTGGTAGCTAATTGACATTTTTACATTTTCTCCTGATAAACATGACCATATGGAAAATTATACCTTAATTTTTCATTGTGTTCACTTAACTTTGATCTGAATTTAGTTTGAAATAAATTATCTACATCCCCACACCTCCAAGATAACTATATTCAGGTTGTAAGTTAGTTTGGTCTAGTGGTTAAGGCCCCAGGCTGGAAAGCAGGAGACTTTCTAGTCCTGCCTTAGGCATGAAAGCCAGCTGGGTGACTTTGGGCCAGTCACTCCCTCAGCCCAACTCACCTCACAGGATGGTTGTTCTGGGGAAAATAGGAGGAGGAAGGAGTATTAGATATGTTTGCCACCTTGAGTTAGTTATAAAAATAATAAAGGCAGAATAAAAAAATCTAATTTTTTTTTAAAGTCCTAATAACTGAACTGAACATCTCTTACAGATTCTATATTTGCAAATATGGAACCCTACCCATCGATGTGCTGGCCTTCAGGTTCTCTAAGATGGATCAGCTTTAGATGATCAAATATGTAAGTTATAAAGAAAAATATATATTATGATCTATAGGCTTTTTCTGCATGACAAGGCTGTACGTTGTGTACAGTGCCAATGTTACCAGCGGGTTCTTGGGTATTCTCAAATTGTCACAGTTCTTTATTTATAATGAATTCTTACTTATAGTGGTTCTCTATTTCCAACGTTCACAGTTGCATTTTTCTACAGTTCTAGTCTAACATCCTAGTTTTGTTAACAATCTTTTTTAGGCATTGTTTTGAGTGTCAAGTCAAAATGATTGCTAGGTACTTATTTATTTAATAAACTTGTACACTGCCTGACTCCCAGTGACTCTGGGGGGTTCACAAGTGAAAAACAATACAATAGTAAAAAGAAGGAACAAACAGTAAAACCAAGCAGCAACACAAAATGCCCACTCTTTTGAAGGAGCTACACTGCATCCTATCCAAAGACCTGGGTGAAGAGCCGGATCTTTAAGGCCCTCTGAAACACTTGCACGATGGGGGCTGCTTATGCCCTTCGACTCTGCTGGTTTTTCTGTGGTCATTACATTTTGAGCTTGGAATTCATTCAGCTTACCAAACAAATGAAAAAAATATAATTTATTGAGCCATGGTTCTAAGTTGAAGAATAATCTTGTATGCTTGGGATGTATATTTCCTATAACTGTTCCTGTGATTCATGCATATTGCATCTTCTGCCTTTTTAAAGTTGTGCTGGATTTTATTCAATTATTTGTTTTGCTTTCCTGCAGTTGTGACATTTCAGCTCTGTTGTTTAGGGATGCAAAGCAAATTTGCTGATGTAAGCATTCTAATTAGGTCCATTCATCTGCATTTTGTCTGCAGTTGCTAATATTTAAATAATTGGATTGGGACCAAAGAGGACAAGTTAATCTACTGTATATGATGCTGAATCAGGTCGCTGATGCATATGAGGATAAATTGAATATACACTGATGCAGTAGATCACGGCAAGGTTTTGGAGAAAAAAACCTGATGCTCTGTGAAAGAGAACGTAGGCTAATGGCTAAAGAAAATAATTTTCTCTTTACAGGTTTTAATGACTAAGCTGTTTTCTGAAGAACCATAAGAAAAGGTGAGTTGAAATACAAAAAGTTGACTGGCTAAGCAATATTATAAAACCTACTTAAGAATTTTCTTTTTTTTGGAACTTTTACATATGTCTGATATTTTAGTTCAAGGATGAGAAACTATTTTTATCTAAACTTATGTGAAATATTTGTCCTATAAGTTTCCAATATATCTCTAAGGAGGAACTTGTACTGTATATCCCCTCACTAAGACTAAAGCAGGCAGCCTGCAATCTGTATTTCTTCTAAGGACTCTCTTAGGGAAGATAAGATTTTTTCTTAGGGAAGAATATGCAGGCAAGCGTATTGGGGATAACCTTTGAATTCAAGCAGGCTGCCTCCCCCAGATACACTGCATTTGAATTCAAGGGCAGTGGCTAAGGAGAGGTGAACAAATGAAGGCACTGAGACTGATGTGTAGGCCAGCAGTAGGAAAAGGTATATATAGACATTACATTTCTCTATAAAGTAAATACAAAAGTCATCTAAGAATTAAAAACCTGGCAAAAAGGCACATCTTTACAGAATGCTAAGAATGGAATCAAACATTCCATTGTCTGGAAGCAACACAGAAAGAGGTCTTCTCTCACCTGTCAGAAAGAGGCCTTTGACAGTGGGGTTATCTTCTCTTCCAAAGGGTTTCTGCCATATGAAGGCTTGTAACAGGATAAGTTGTTTCTTTGATAGGCCCTACCTAAGCCATTTGGGTTAAGGTAAAGGTTAATAAAGCTCTTACCCATCTGTAGGTTTTAGTTTTGTTTTTGTGGCTGCTATTGTTTTTATAATCCGAATGGTAACCGGAAAAATTATGGATACCAGAGTAAATTGTGATGATTAGAACAATAATAAGGTGACACTGCCCCATTTTTCCATTTTGACCCTCCCTTATTTCTCTGGCAAACCGAATGTTGAATATGAACCCCGGTCCCAAAAAGTTGCCCACAAGGAATTTCCCATGTTTCCCAGGAGAAAATTTGAACAGTATCTTCTGGAAATGTGCATTCATTTGAACTGATTTCTTTTACCTGTTAATTCAAATATACTTGATATTTGCTGCTGTTTAAGCATTTAATGCAGTCAGCCTGTATGATGAGAAGCTAATGAAACTGACTTTAAAAATGGAGGTCTGTAATTAGCTCTACCTGACTTTGGGCGTCTACTTGCATCTTCTATGACTTAAAATTTGTTTTCTCTTAAGTGTCATAAACACTTTTTTCTCTTTAGGACTTGGGGTGACACTGAAGAGCTTTTTAAGAGTAAAGCTACTGACAGTGGTAAGCTATTACTGATATCAACTTAACTCCATGGAACTTATTGCAAACAATTGCCTAGTGTTTTGCGAACAGGATATCCTTAAAAATTGTATATTAATCTTTAATAATACTATTTTACTAAATGCCGAAGTTTTTATTTGAATAGGTGCCCTAAAGAAGGAAGTTCAGAAGTTTGTTTGGCATAGAGTTCTGAAAACATATATCCAATAGCACATTATTTATTTATTTATTTGTTTATTATTAAAT